GGGATATAAATTCCCTCTACTACAGCTTTCATGGCGTCCCAGAGATTTTGGTAAGATGTTCTTCATTTTCATTTGTTTCCATGTATCTTTTAATCTCTGTTTTGATTTCATCATTGACCCAGGAGTTGTTTAGCATCATGCTGTTTAGTGTCCATGTCTTTGTGGGTTTTGGGGGTACCATGTTAGTGTTAATGTTTATTTTTATTCCACTGTGGTCCGAGAAGGTGCATGGTAAAATTTCAGTCCTTTTAAATTTGCTTATGCTTGATTTATTGCCAAGTATGTGGTCGATCTTAGAATATGTTCCATGTGGTGATGAGTAGAATGTGTATTCTGTGGTCTTTGGATGGAGGTTCTGTAGGTATCAGTTAAGTCTATTTGATCAAGAGTCCCATGAGGTTTCAGATCTCGTTGCTGATTTTTTGTCCCGATGATCTGTCTAGGGTTGTGAGTGGGGTATTGAAGTCCCCGGCTATGATGGCATTGGAGTCGATATCTGTTTTTAGTTTACCCAGGAGCTGCTTTATGAAAGTTGGTGCTCCTATGTTTGGTGCATATATGTTTAGGATGGATATTTCTTGTTGAAGGATTGAACCTTTTATCATTATATAGTGGCCTTCTGTATCTTTTTAAATTTTTGATAGCTTAAAGGGTATTTTGTCTGAGATTAAGATCACGACTCCTTTCTTTTGTGTTTCATTTGCCTGAAAATTTGTTTCCCATCCTTTTACTTTGAGTCCGTGAGTGTCCTTTCTAGTGAGGTGAGTCTCTTGAAGGCAGTAGATTGTTTCCTGGTGATATTTTATTCGTTTTGCCATTTTATGTCTTTTCAGTGGTGCATTTAGTCCATTCACATTCAAACTGATTATTGAAATGTGTGAGTTGATCCCTATCATAATGTTCTTACAGAATTGTTTTTCTTCCTGTTTGTGTGTTGTCTTTCTTTTGGTTTTAGAGTTGAATCATGTGTTTTTAATCTTTTGCCTGTATTCTTGTGAAGAACATTGTTGTTCTTTTTTCCTTCTGTGTTCAACACTTTCTTAAGTGTTTCTTGTAGAGATGGTCTTGTGGCAGCATAGGTTCTTAGGGATTGGATATCTGGGAAAGATTTCAATTCTCCCTCACTGATGAAGCTTAGCTTGGCTGGATAGATTACTCTCGGTTGAAATTGTTTATCTTTTAGAACTTTGAAGATAGGGCTCCAAGCTCTCCTAGCCTGGAGGGTTTCTGTAGATAAATCTGCTGCTATTCTAATTGGTCTTCCCTGGTATGTAGTCTGACCTTTTTCTCTTGCAGCCTTTAGGATTTTTTCTTTTATACCTTCTTTGTTTAGATGAATTATTATATGTCTGGGAGTTGGTCCTCTCATTTGTTGTCTTGCAGGGGTTCTCTGAATCTCTTGTGTTTGAATTTTTTCATCACTGATGAGATTAGGGAAGTTTTCTTGAATGATTTCATGAAATGTTTGTTCCAGTG